ACATCAGTCATATACACACTGTGGAGATTGCAGCCTGGAAGTGCACATGTGGGATATAGTTCTGTTTTATCACTTTACTCCAACGAGAGGAGAGCGGCAGATCTAAAGGACATAGGAAGTTAGGTAAGTGGAGAGCAGCAAGGAATAAAGAAGATAAAGAGCGCGGCAGTGGCAAGAAAATGCAAGGGCAAGGCAAGGGCAAAACAGCAAAGGTCTGCAAGGGGATGAGAGCAGATGATAAAATGGAAAAATGGAGGAAAGGTATTTTTGAAAGATATATTATAGCTGGTGAGATAATCCTTCCAACAATGGGTTTTAACACACTTCCCTCATTTCCTCCTCATCCAGATGCAGAGGGGAAACAGTGACTTTAACAGCTTCATAGCTGTGGCATTAACAAATTAGCACACTTGACACCCAAAGCTCTCAGCAACATTTCACTTCTTTAATTAAATTCCATGTTAACTTCACAAAATAAAATCCTGTGGGCACACCCACCATTAAACCTTATTAAACTTCTTTTCCTGAGCTTTCGGATGAGATCAAAGGTTACCTCTCTCATCAGGGTAGGTCCTTGCATTCTTTCTCTTTTAGATGAGGCTCCCTCATACACAGACGTTACCCACAATCCCTACTGTTAATATGATCATGTGTGCAGATAGGTGCTGGGGTGCTGCTGTGATGGAGCGGGGAGAGAGTGGTGGGGGGGGGGGTTTAGGGGCCAACACGCGGCGAATTCGAACACATTTCTCCCAAATGTGTTTCCGATGCTGTCATGTGTTAGGCCAACTCTGCTGAAAGCAAAAATGTAAATCTTGAGATGCACTGTAACAGGCCAGCACAAACCAGACTGGTCAAAAATATTGCACGGGTCAAGGGGTGTCAACGAAAATGTTATTCAGGGAAAAACGGCCCACTTTTCAATTAGCAAACCACAGAAAAAATGTAGGCTTTGCGACCAGCTCTGCTGCAGGGCTCGGCAACGAGCTTTATGATGCTGCATTACACAGGACAAAACAAAAAGCAGGGAACACACTGGAGGACTTGTAATACCCCCAAACTGTGAGAATAATCCACATTTAATGACTGATGCATTAACCTGCTCATACTACAGCATCACTTTTTTTACATTTCTGCATATTCAAGTGTTAAATGTCAAACATTTTTAGGTCTGTGATTAATGATTATTTTCATTGTTTGCTGGTTTGGGTGTCCAAAAATAGTGATAGATGTCTACTGCAATTACGTAAAGCCCAAGATGATCAATTCTAATTGTTTGTTTTGTCTCAATCCAAAATGCAAAGATATTCAGTTTAGTATCACACCAGACAAAGAAAAACATAAAATCCTCCCAGTTTAGGAGCTGGAAGATGGTAGCGTTTAGTATTTCTTGGACAGAAAATTACTTGAATGATTAAAGTTCCCCCTCCGCTCAAAAATCTGTTTCTCTTCTTGTTCCTACAGTGTGATGTTTGAATGATGTATGTGCGAGTTTGACACTAGAAGGATGTTTTTACATTCATGCTGCTGAGAATTAAAGTTTCTCTGAGCTCATTGAAAAGCTGATTTTTTTTTAAGGGGCGGAGCCTACGAGCATGATTTGTCACATACATACAAGTGTGATGTAGAAACTTGAAGCCATCAACGCACATACAATGAGAATGGACTTTACAGTGAAGTAGGAGACATCTTGTGACATCTTTTTAAGGATTTTTATCAGGGGCAGATTTGGACTTCATATAGTGTAGTGTGTTCAAGACAAAGACCAAAACCATTCATTTGGCACTCACGTTCATGAATGGCTATTTTCTGAAGGTCTTAGAAGGAATAATAGTAACAAAAGACATTAATGTAAGAAAATGATTCAGGGTTCAAAAGATGAAATCAAGAGTGTGTGCAGAGGTGAGAGGAACAAGCCTCTCCTAAGCTTACAAAGACTTAACTTCAACTCTATAGCCTTCTTTATGTATCAGTATCTACATATCTGAGGGCCTCAAGGGCCTCTGAAGTGGAGCCAGAACCCCATCAAACTAAAACCAGAGGTGATGTCATCTTCATTGGTTGAGGCTGTCTCCCGCGCTGATAAAACAGCTGGCTCAAAGCCCCCATTGCTGAAGTTTGCTGCTCCACATGGCTGCATGTACAGTGTTGGCTGAGTGACACAAAGACACAAGGATTCTTTTGCCAACTAAAATTATCCTCACTTAAAGAGCAACTAAACAGAAAACCACTTTTTTAAACAGAAAACCTATGTATAGTATGAGTATCTAGAAGTATTGTTGATCGATTAGGGTCCAAACCTGAACCTTTTAGCGCAAGGTATTTGAATTCTACATATTAAGTTATAAATACGCATAACGACCGCCCACTACTGGTTGGACTACTGCATTTGAATTTTGCTTGTTTATATGTGGAGGCAGGTGATGTATGTGAAGTTCAGTGCTTTCTTACCGAGTGTTAGATGAGAAGTTTGATACCACGCTCATGTCTGTACAGGAAATATGAAGCTTCTGCCAATGGCCAATTAGCTTAGCTTAGCACAAAGAGGGGAAATGGGAAAACAAAAGGTAACAAAGTCTGCATAACATCACCTCAAGCTCACTAATTAACATGTAATATATCATTTGTTTAATCTCAAACAAAAACTAAAGTGTCAATTTGCTAAATAGTAGTTTTTATGTGGTAAGATCTAAGCTAAGCTAACCAGCTGCTGAAGAAACATGTCTCTGTCTGTATCTTATCAAGTCAAATGTCTTCCTCTATTAGTTTCGCTTGTATGTAAATGTGTGGCTGATTGTTTCATTACATGACAGGTTTGTAACACTGAGTGTCTTGTGTTCTTAAAACAATAAAACATGTCTCCATTCGATATGTAACAACTCCAAAAATCTAAGTTTTCAGGGTAAAATATACTAACCTAATAACTGAACTATAAGTTCTTCAAACCATTTAACACAAAACTTTCTTTGAAGAACCAATAAAAAAGTTTATGGTATAACTTTAAAGTGTTCTCCTGTGGTATTACTCTGAAGAACAACCATTATTTCCAAAGTATTCCTAATATACATTTATACTTCACAGACTTTGTTGTACAGACCTTAATCTACATGAGGAGAATCAGTCTTTTGTTTCAGAGCTGTAGCCTGATCTTAGCACGGTCACGTCTGTTACAAAGACCTGGTGGAAGAGTGTCATGCTCATTAATCTCAGTGGGGCCACTTTCCCACAGAACCGACTCTCTGCTCCGCTGCCGTCTGGGCAGCTTGTAGCAGCTGGATCCCTGTGGGACAGAAACCCTACTCATTACACTTCACTTTTCTCTTCTTTTCTCTTTTCTTGCTGCACAGCTGTTTCTGCGCTGCCAATTCTAACACCTTGTTGTTTCTTGCGCACTCATCCTAACTTTCTCTCCTCTGTGTCCTCTCTTTCTCTAACTCGGACTCACCCCTTGCCAGCTATCCCTCCACTCCTCAGTGTGAAGCAGACTGTCCAGTGACATCAGCCTCTGTCTTTAAGGTCTCCTCACTCCAGTCCAACCTGGCCTTCTGTCTCCCCATATGGAGGCAATTTTCTTCCTACTCTATAGCCATTAGAACTTGCAAATACATTTCAGCAAACGTTAAATAAATAGCCAGATTACTTCTTCACACTCCTGCAACCACTTTGGTCTCAAGTGAACCATAATCTCAGGCATTACAGACTCAGCGGATATGGGTACGTGTTAATCTTTGTGTGGAATAATATCCATGGCAGAGCAAATAATGGTTTCCAAAGGCTTTCTAATAATGTCTGTGTTTATTCCATTAGTATTAATGTATGTTTTTTTAACTCGTGGCAAATGTTGCCCATCCAAGTGCAACAATGAATAATTTTGCAAAATGGAACAAGGTGCAGTAATTATGACCAATAAGCAAAACTTGCTCATTGAGGTAACTGTTAATCTTGGACAAATATAGACTGACGATGCCAGCGTTTTTCAATTACACACGATTTATTGTAACCAGCTCCAAAAAATATCTACCAAGTTGCTGAATGTACTGAATAATTTTAATAGAAAGCTGTTAAAATAACTCTGCATTTCAAATAACTGCAGCGTCAAGCATCCTTTTACAGGCATCCACAATGTTTAAAATACAATATGTGAAAACACGTTTGTCACTGTGGTTGTGAGCAGTGGACATATATATGTATATGTATATATATATATATATATATATATATATAAAGAGCACAGTTAAGGCAGCCTGGCATTAGACCTCCATCCACCCTCTTTCTCTGTTTCTTCAGGCTGGCTGCGGTGGCTCGCCCCTGGGTGAAAAATGTTGGTCTCTACTGGGCTCAGAGTCTGCGGTCTGTGGTGTCCAGGAGCAGCACTGCCCATCACCGAGACCTAGACTGCCTCCCACTTTACAAGCTGCTTCGCTGGACGTTCCTCTGAGCTTTTTTCATTCATTCTTCTGACTGTAATAGCCATAATGATATTCGAAGAGACAGGCAAAACTGCCTGTGTGTTGTCTATGGTTAACTGAGTATGTGTGTGAGTGAAGCGCACACAGCCACACACATACCAAGAAACAAGAGATACAGCGGGAGACGGTTAGTGAATCTAATCCTTCTTCCAGGCACAGAAGCGATTTTAATGCACGGCTGTAAAAGAAAAAGGTACAAAACCACAGAGCAGAGAATCCCTTTCAACTGTTGTTTTACTGCTGTCCGTGTTCCTGAAAGTAATCCAAAACAGGCTTCTAATCTTAATTTAAAACAACTTTACAATCATATCAAAAGACCAACTCTGACACAGAAGCACGATATGCAAGCTGCCCGACTACACACCACCAAACTAAATTAAAGGCACTGATGTGGGTAAAGCTGCTAAAAAGACACAGATGGGGGCAAAAGACACGCTTTATTTTAGTCCTTGAATGAATTATCCTCCGACCACATTCTCCCCTACTGTGTCTGAGAAAGGTGCATCATGTAAAAGAAGCACAGAAGCTCACCGTCACGACACTCTTCTCCCACAAACCCCGGACAGCATCTCCACTCCAGCGCAGTGACCTGCTTGTAGGTAACCTTGAAGGACGGCCTGATCACGGTTCTGTAGCTGGAGAAAACAGCACATGGTCACTGATTTAAGGGACATGTACACACGTACAAATGACACAGACATGATCAAACTGCCCCTTTTTATTGGTTAGTGGTGTCTTTTTTTGACACTGGGTTGAGGGGGAGACGGGGAATGACAAGCACAGCAACGTTTTACTTCTAATCCACTTATACTAGAAAGGATTCAGAAGTCTGTTTCAGGGGGAAACCATTAAAAGACTTTAAAATAATTTAAAGTTCATTGTGTGTGTTGATAATGGTGATGTTACTTCAGTGAAAATAGGAATGCAGGACTTGTTTTTCTTTTGTAAAAGATCGTCTTTACCAACATTTTAAATTAGAGGAAGGGTGAAAATAAGGCAAGACAGAAGCCCAGTGGCCCTCAAATCACTAAATCCGCCCTTGGACCCATATTCATGACTTGTTCTGAAATACAAAAACTGTATCAGCATCACTGACAACTGAGAGAGCTGAAGGGAGATGAGGACTTGGCTGAAGGGGGGCAGTCGTGAGGGTTACCTGATGACTTTGGAGCAGGGTCCGGGCCATCGGCAGCCCTGAAGAACTCTCTGCACTGAGGTTTCTGTCCCATTGTGCACCTGACAGGACACCGTTCTGGAAACAGTATACTGACACCAGTTCCTGAAATAACAAATACAGATTTCACACTCACCATTAATACTACATGAGAGAAATCATACACAATCAGTAATGGTATGGAGGAGATTACACACTCAGGCGTAAGATAACTGACACACTAATGTGATAATTTAATAGAGCTGCAGCCAATTTGTTTCTGCTCAAGAACAAAGAATCTGCACTACATTTTCTTTTGCAGCCCGCAGTGAAAAGGCTCCATCTCCAGTATGTCCATGTGCTCACCTGAGCTGGGTATGGGGTCCGGTACCTGGCGGTCCAGTGCTGCCGCTCTGTTCTGATTTGATGCGCTGCCGTTGCACAGTGATGGTTGGAAAGCGATAAACAAACCCTGTTCCCAGCGAAGGACAGACTACACTTATCCACATGCACAGCGCGTAGAGGAACGATAAAGCCATCGTCTCCCTGTGATTTATCCCTGACAGATCCACAGATACCGACGATTTTCAAGTAAATCCTGAAGTTATAAATCCCTCTTAGACAGATCTAGAGTATCTGAACTGGAACGGGGAGAGAAAGACTAAGGAAACCCCACTGAAACCATTCATGAGTTGGTCATTTCGTCTTCCCGACGAGAAACAAACTGCCCCCCTCAAGAGCCCAAAATGAATGACACACAGCCTCTTCCTATAGAATAATGCGGTTTTCTGACGTTTGACATCGTGCCGAGGACTGAGGAGTCAAATATCCAGAGTGCGTAAAAAAGCGCGCCGTGTGTGAGGGCTGGAGACGGAGTGCGTAAAAGCGCATCTGGTCCCGATCGAAAAACCACGACTGTTCAGTTTTCAAATAGGTCCAATGATGTGAATGTGATCCACAGTTACTGAACTCTATGGCAGCGTCTTTTGTCTCATTGTCTCTGTTCTCCAAACTGATGGAGACTTACTATAAGTCTGTAAGTCAGTGAGTAACAAAGACAGATATGAGCGATAGTATTAAAATCATACAATAATCACTTATTGTCACACTTTGTCATATAGGTTATATTTTTCCTTTTCGAGACTAACATTTAATAAAAATTGTTTTATAGTAGCAGTACATTTAATGTTTTTAAGGAAACGTAGACTAGGGGGGTTTCTTCTTTTATCTAAACATATATATATATATTTATAGTCTATAAAGTTGCGCTTGTTGTAATTAGCTGGATAAAAGTAAAAAATAAATAATAAAATACCTATGGTAAGTTTAAGTGAAAGTTTGACTAATTAACTCCTATTTTTACTTGGTAGGCCAGGTTTTAATTGATTAGCTCACAGATTTGACTTTGGAAGTAAAACAATATGTATTTATTACCTCGTAACTTTATTAGATTAGTTGGTAAAACATCTGACCTATCTTATAATTTTTATTTAATATGGAATTGTTTTTAGCAAGCAAGGTTTTGGATGTATTATCTCGTATTGACTTAATAAGTTCAATCTGTGGTCGATTACCTCACAGTTTTGACTCTGGAAGTAAAGGTACCTCATACTTTGACTTACCTATATTAGTATTTAAATTGCTATAATATGTTTTTGTCCCTGGAGGAAATTAATCCTGTATGCCTTTCTCACAGCAGCCATCCTAACATGAAATAGTAGGGTAAACACAGGTGTAACTAATGACACTAACTAAGGTCCTGCTCCACTTCAAGACTCTGCTACACTAAATGCAACTGAACCTTAATTAGTACCACTAACACCTGCGTTTACCCTACTTTTTCACACCAAACTGGCTGCTGTGAAATAAGGTGTCTTGAGTTTGATGAGGATCCGCTTTACTGGTTCCCAGTAGTCCACCGGGGAGACGTCCTGGTCGGCAGCGCCCCCTGCTGACGGCTCAGGCTCCGTGCAGGCCGAAGGAGGAAGGAGACGTGTCAGATTATCTTCAGCGGGGCAGATGGAGGCGGACAGCACCGGCGGCAACATGGGAGAGAAAGCAGACGTGGGAATGGCAGAAAGCCCCTTTGAAGCTTACATTGAGTCTGTTCGCCTGCAGCTGGAGGACCAGGACCCCGTGTTTCTGATCGCGGTGGTCGTCGCGCTGGCGGTCGTTGTCATCACCTGTGGTAGGTAGCATGCTACTGTTAGCAGGCTAGGCCTAGCTGTTAGCTTAGCATAGTCAGCGACAAAGTGTTGGGTTGTTGGGAGAGCAGGTCTGTCAACAGGACAGAAGAGGTTGTGTTTTACGTTTTTTTTTATGTTCTTTTAGTGAAGGAGTTTGTGCTTTTTATGAAATAATTAGGAGGCTAATTGCTGAGCTAAAGCAAACAGCTGTTTATCTGTGTGTGTGTGTGTGTGTGTGTGGTTAGTTCACAGCATCGTTTTTAAATCGCTCTCTGCATTTTGTTCCCTTTTCAGTGTTTCTAAAGTACTTTCTCACCAGCAAAACTGTCCGAAGTGCTGTGCTGCTGGTCGGACTGTGTGACTCCGGGAAGACGCTGCTCTTCAGCCGGGTCAGTACACTGAAGCCCATCGCCACGCTGTCTGTCATAGGAGCCTCAGCTGGGGGCCACACTGCTGCATGCTTAATCTGCTTTTAAAGTGCTGTTTCATGTTTTTGGCAGCTGTTGTCAGGAAAGTTCAAGCGGACACAGACCTCCATCACTGACAGCAGTGCTCCGTATAAAGCTAAAAATGATAGGGTGAGTTTGGTTTATCGTCACTTGATCTTCAAGCTGTCATCCTTTCATGCTGACCTTGGTTTATGGTTGTCCGCTCTCCCTCCTGTGTTCAGGGAAGCACCTGGACTCTGATAGACCTGCCGGGACATGACAGTCTTCGCCCACAGTACCTGGAGAAGTTCAAATCTGCAGCCAGGTGAGAACAGGACTACTTTCTTGTTTATTAGTGAGGTAAAGTCCTGATCACATCCTTCTCATCATCACTGCTTATTCCCTTTTCATCCTTCATCTCTCCAGAGCGATTGTGTTTGTGGTGGACAGCGCTATCTTCCAGAAGGAAGTGAGAGACGTGGCAGAGTTCCTGTACATCTTGTTGACGGACATTGTGATCTCCAGGAACGCCCCAGCTCTCCTGGTGGCGTGCAACAAACAAGGTTCGACTACCCTTTTGCTCTGAAATGACCCAATTATCTACACTTTACCTCTTGTAAGTTGCTTATGTGTGATATGGCACCATTATTTACTTGTCTATTTGTTTTTACAGATATCACAATGGCAAAATCAGCTAAACTCATTCAGCAGCAGCTGGAAAAGGAATTGTAAGTAACTGTATATTACATTACTATATGTAACTGTTATATCGCTGTGTATTTTCAGTATTTGTCTTGTGTTTTTCCTCTTTGAGGTCACTTTCAGTAAAAATTACACCTCAAGTTCAAGTGTTGCATGTAATATCTCTTGTGTATGTGTTAAGTCGTCGATGTATTGGCAGCTGAAGTGAAATAATAATCTTCATAAGTCATAGTAAAGTACTGTTTCCTCCACGTTGTGTCTTTGAGTGTTTGTTCGTCATCTTTAGTTTCTTTTAGTCATTTTTATATCACTTTTTCATAGTTGTTCCAGATACCAGGAAGCTTGTGTGTCTGTCTACGGATCCGATACCACCTAAATTATAAGCCCCGAAACGGGACCCTGCTACTTCTCAGCAGTGTCCCGTTCTGCGTTTTTCCTCCCCAGGATGGCGAAGTACTGACCCACCCTCCCCTAACAAAGAGTATAACCTGAGCCAGGCCATACAACAATGATAGCAATCATACAGGCTTAATCGTATACGCTACAGACACTTCAGCTGTGGACTGAACCACCATTAACCCTCAGTCTCTGTCTCCTGTGTTTCATAGGAACACCTTGCGAGTGACACGCTCTGCTGCCCTGAGCTCTCAGGACGGCTCTGTGGGCGGCAGCGTGTATCTGGGGAAAAAGGGCAAGGACTTTGACTTCAGCCAGCTGCCCATGAAGGTGGAGTTCCTTGAGTGCAGCGCCCGCGGCAGCAAGGGTGAAGACGGGGATGCAGACACGGAGAGCCTGGAGAAGAGCCTGGCTAAACTGTAAAATCAGCAACTCAACATCCTCTGTGCAGAGTTTGCTTCAGAGGCACCGACCTCGGGCACCGCCTCAGTAATCAAGAGAGATGATTGATTGACAATTGCATCTCAGTGGAGGATTTATTTGACAGGAGTAAGCGGTCAAACACGGTCCTATCTGTGCTGACTGTTTGAGACATATTCAATCAAAACACACCAAAAAGACTGTGATATAGCAGTGTGTCAGGTTGCTCTGCAGTGCTGAGAAATGCTAATGTGCTTATTCAGTGTAAATCTTACTGTGAACATCCACCTTAAAGCGCTTTATTTGGCTTGTTAAGAAAAATATAGTTTAAAGAATTGTGTTTGAATTACAAAATTTGCTGTTTATAATTGCAACTTAAAGAAAATCCGTTGTCAGGCAGTCACACATTTTAATTTTCATTTTGTGTCTGATTTAAAGCTGCCTTGTTAGGACTTAAGATTGGTGTGAACTGCATTTATTCTTTAACTTGAACAGTCAGCCTTGTGCCTTTTTTTTCTGGTATTATAGAAAGGTGTTTCGCTAGTTTGAAAAAGAATGACAGTGTACCTGTTTGAAAGTGTTGCGTGAATACAGTGCATTTGCAATGAATGTATGAATTTATTGAGATTTTGTGGTTGTCTGATGTGTTTAAAACACTGAGAATATAAAGTTTTTGATGCTTGACGGTAAAGTCCACAGATTAATAGGAACAGCACAATTTCTTAAACTGTATCACAAGATACCGTCTGTCTGGTGTTTAACATCGTGTAACAGATTTAGCCTGTAATGATGAATAAGCAGCAAACATGATTTAATCATTGACACGCACAGAAACAAATCTTATCTATCACATAGTTACATGAGGGGAATTAGCTGGCTGTCAGTTCACAAGGCGCCACTTTATATTAATTTTAAAAACAGCAAAAGTGCTCCCCAGAGTCCGAGGTCACCACAGAGTGTCTGTGTAAAGTGTCATAACACAGCACTCTCAAATGTCTGAGACAGAGCAGTGTGTCACAGATTTATGTTTCAGTTGCATACTTGTACTTTCTGTCTTGTACCTGGTTCGGATTAAGACTTTATTTTACTGTATAAAAAAGAACCGCAGATTTAGTTAATCAAGCAGATTTGTTTTGTCTAATGTGGTAGTATATAGCAAAATATATATCAAAGGATGACGTTTTTTATTGGACCACATGCACACAAACCCCCCTAATGAGTAGAGCTTGCATTAAATTAGACTTGAAAAAACACATTACACATGTTACTGTGTTGAATATTTTGTGAAAACTCAAACAAATCAGATGATTGCTCGTGTAAAGATCTTCCTTCCAGCACTGGTCAGCTTTGGTTTCTGCCCACAGTTCAGGTTTTATTAAAGGAGAACAAGATCCTACTGTCACAATATTAAGCCAATCACAATTTAGTCCAAATAATGATGCTAGCAGTTCTAACAGGAGTGTATGACATTTCAAAAACATACAGCAAGTCAAAATACTTCTATGGCCAGAGCAAAAGATTAAAGAACGTGTAGTAAAGTGTGTGAATCTACAGTTGAGGCAGAGGGTAGACGGTCAGACTGGAGCTCTGATCTGCGACTACCACAGTGGGTTCTCCTTTCAGCACCGCAGGGCACAACCAGTTCACTTTGTCCCCATGACTGATGCTCAGTTTGGGCCCCGACTTCTCCTCTGTCACCTCCTCTGAACCTGCTGCTGCTGCTTCATCCTCCACTTTAGCTTCCTCTTTGTCTTCCTCAGCCTTCGGTGGGGTCTTTGCTTTATCCTGAGATTGTTCTTTCCTCTTTGCCTTGCTCTTACTCTTCCTGCGTGGGGCCGCTGTCACTCGAGTTTTGGCCTTTGCCTCTGGAGACACCACCGGGTGCTTACTGAGGTCCCACAGGGCGACCTGGCTGTCATTCCCTCCAGTGACGAGCCAGTAAGGGTGGGGAAGGAAACTAACAAAGTGGGCCTGTGAGGCGCCCTGACTGTGAGCTTTGAATGCTCCCTGCTGTTCCAGTTTAGAGCCGCTGCCGATCCGCATCAGATGCACTCGTCCGTCCTCTGCTGCACAACCCAAAATGTTTCCACAACTCGCCACAGTAACACAGTGGGCCAGTGGCGGGTTGAAAAGCTGACCAGGTCTCTGCTGATGGTCGTCTTCTTCTTCTGCTACGTCCTGGAGGTTGAGGGTCCAAAGAGGGCGCGTTTTCTGCAGCCCCCACAGCATCACCTGAAGTGACAGAGAAAAAGGGTTAAACAAATCTGCATTAGGAAAGAAATGTCAAACGTAGCCTCGATATAGAAGTGAATGACAAACTCTCCTCTCTCTTACCTGCATGTCGAGTCCAGCAGACAGGAGGTTATTGGGCCTGTGGGGCCGAAACGCCACAGAGGAGCAGATGTTAGTGTGTCTACGAAGAGTCCTGCACACTTTCCCCCCTGGAAGCTCCAGTACCCGGACCGCCCCGGAGTCATCAGCCACCGCCAGGGCTGAACCTGTGTCGCTTAGTGCCAAAGCATTGATCTCCTCCTCCCCTGCACCCAGAAACTGCTCCACGGGGCCCTTCAGGTTGCGGGGGTCGAGTACACTCACTGTGTCTCCATGTGACACGTAGAGCTGTCCCGGAGCTGCGGGTGAAAAGACAACACTTGTGCTGTCCTCTTCACCAGGGAGAGCGAGGCGGCCGACGATGGTTCCCTCCTGACTCCACACCGTGACCTCTCCACCTTCAGAGCCGGAAGCGAGGAGACCGTCGGGGCCCGGAGACGCCCCAACACACAGGATGGATGTGGAGTGGCCCTCAGACCACTGCCTGGCCATACTGACCCCAGACATGAAAGTTAACGCAGAGAAGATAAACATGAGATTGTTTCTTTGAGACATTGCAGCGTTGTGTGACAGACTTAAAACAACAGACACACATCAGTTATATTTATGAACGTAGACGAAATATCATAAACATGTCTTAAGATAATGCAGAACAATTCAGCAGCTTCTTAAATTACCATCAAGTTGCATTTTTAACAAACTAGACCTAAGAGGATTACTCAATTAATCAATAAGTCAAATAACAGAAATGCAATTTTGACCTTAACTACTTTTATTGTGTTTTCTATGGAAGTAAACTTAATATATTTGAGTTTTGGGCATCTGGTTGAACAAAATAAGCTATTTGAATATGTGAACTGAAAACTTGTAATGAGCATTTTATAAACACATAATCAGTTATTGAGTAAATAATCAGCATGAATTTAGGATGAAAATAATCACCAGAGTATTATAACCCCAGTGAAGGTAGGAGTTGCAGGGCTGTTTATTAAACAGTATAATCAATGTGTGTACCTAATAAACTGAATGTTTTCACAGCTTTCTTACAATAAAGTCAGAAATATCATCAGTTCATTTAGTAATATTACTTAAAAAGAAGAGTAATTGTGTATGTTATGTAACACTTTGCTTGCAGACTAGTCAGATTTAATAATATTTTTAATTTCAGGAGCAAAGTTTAGCAGCAAGTACTCAAAAGGTACATAAATGTTTAACAAAATAGCTTTTAACGTGTTATTTTCTGTCTCTTTTAATGAGAATTCAATCACATATAAAGGAAGAATCTTTACACTGGGTTAAGTTTTAATTACACGGTAGTCTGAATTACTATTTTAAGAAGTTTCTGCGATCACAGAGGACATAAAATATCAAACCACATCGAGCCAAACATTAACCTGAACGCTAACATGCAGCTACCTTCCTGTTCAACTGACGCTCGGCCGCGATAATAAACACGTTTCTGTTATTCTGCTGATTGGAGATCATCTATAACACTGTAGTCACATGATGGATAACTTCAAGACCACAGAATCACTCTACCTTAACAAGTGCAGTCAAAACTTCACAGGGCTGCCATGTGGGGCTGTGTCGCTCAATGATGACATCACACAGGAGCTTGTCTTTATGCCCTGAGTTTAGTTTATCAGGAAGATTTATTATTTGTCTTTTCGACAAGAATTGCGGATCTTTACTGATCTAGTTCCTCATATCTCTAACTTAAAACATTTAATATGTGGAGATTGATGGTGTTTAGTCCAAATCTGAGAGGAAATGCTGCCTGAAAGGAAAATTCAGGGCAAAATTAACTTGTTTGGTAAATGTTAATGCACCATGTCAGTACAATATTACTGAGCCAGAGGTCATAAAAAATACATTAATGCAGAAATACAATAATGTCTTAACTGCAGAGTAGATACGATTAAAAATATAACTTTATTTTTTTTGGCAGTTGCAGTACAACAGTAAAATATATAATCAATATAGGTACAAGTGCAACAAACAGATCACACACAATGCTCATAATATATAAAACATTAACAGTAAGGATGAAGGTTGCTCATATTTCAAGTTGCTTTGAGAAGTGACATAAAGAAATGTATAAAGGTTTAATGATTATGTCCATAATGTTGCATGTATTGCCCCCGTTATTGCACATTATGTCCCATATGTTTACTACATTATCTCTAACAGAACAGTAGATTCATTGTTCCTACACATTCTGCAGAACATGAAAAAGAAAAGCACACAGAACACAGAGGAGGCAGTTCATCAAATCATTGTTCAGCGGGTCCCCCCCACCCGACCTTCATTTCCACAATGGCTGCTCTCCGCTGATTCATCCAAAGCTGTAGATCTGATGAGTGTGGTCCATTTCTGGGTCAGTGAACAGCGTGCCATACTGCCACTCTGAATAGGGAACAGAGAGGGGAGGCCATAGCTTTCAGATCACCGAAAAACACACACAAACCAAGTACACACACTCAACACACACATCAACACAACATTCAAATGCTGACACATGCTGTATGTCCTCACAAAGAAGCAGCAGTTCTCACAGAGCACTTTGAATGTAAGTACTCTGCAGTCGTTTACTTTTCTCTGCTCATGGCCTGTTCATTAGACGCTACTTCCTCTGTATAATGCAGTTACACAGGAGGGTTTCACTAAGCAGATGTGTTATATGTGATACTGTAGTCGCAGAAAACTGTGTGAATTTGTCAGCAGGTTTACTGACAGTTTGTCACAACACCTCCCCATGGCACGAGTGAAAGGATGCTTTTTCTATTTTATCTATTAAGTTTTTTGAAGCTGTTCTAAAGCTTGAAGGTATGTGATATATTTTTTTTAGATTCATATCTAAGACATTGTGCTTGAATTAAAATGTATTTGGAGCTTTAATTGTGTGTATTATGTGGAATATACCTGGATGTGTTGTAATGTGTCTGTGTATGGTCTCATTGAGACTTTAGATACATGTTATATGTCTTATTATGCATGTATGTTTTGTTGTGTATGGATCCAGGGAAGAATAGCTGCTACTTTGGATTATAGAATAATTATCCCATGTGATGATCTTGAACGGGGGTGCCAGAAGCAGAGAGAAGAAAGTGTATAACACTGCTGCAATGACTGAGTTAGCAAAGAGAATCACATTAATAACAGTGGGACTTTGGACCTTTTCCAGAGATTATTTTATTAGATAAAGAATTGCTTCTTCTACACCAGTAGTTCTTTCTTCACTGTTAATCTTCCAATCTATACACAGTTATGAAATAACTCAATCTTATCAGACAGGGATGCGTGTGACTGCATTTTATCATTGCTTGATGTGTGTCAGTTTGGAGGTCCTTGACACCAAAAAGGTTGAGAACCACTGCTTTAATCTTTAAATCAGACTCTGAAGCAGAATCTATCACAGTTAAATTAGATGTAATGTCAGAAAATAATGTGCAAGAACTATTTACTGTACTACTAACAGTCTAATATACAAATTCGGCAATAACATAATCCATTACTGTCAAAGTATATCTAAGTAGGCTGTACATAGGTGTGTGTAGTGTGCATAAACCACCAACTTTATGTATATAAATAAACTTATAACATCACCCATAATATTAATTTTAGCTTATTGCACTGGCATTTGCAATATTTGCCAGCCTTAAGTTTAAATTTGACCTGTATATAGAAATCTATTTATCTACTACTACACAATATGTATGTAGGTATAAAGCACCTGCTTTCTTGTACATAACAGATGTATGTTTATGTTTGCTTATACTTGTTTACTTACTTTTGATAACTGAAGTCAAATTCTTCGTATACCTAAGCAGCTTCGAGATTCTGATTCTCCTTCTCAGAGGATTTGGCGTTACCCTGAAATATTCACACACCAGAAAGCATGAGGTCGCCCTATTTCCCAGCGAGGACGGTGCTTTTCCACAAGGAGCCAAACGGAGTGACGTACAGGGTCCCTGCACTGCTCTACCTGACCCGCTCCAGATCCCTCCTTGCCTTCTGTGAGGAGAGACTCAGCCCGTCGGACTCTCAGGCTCACCTGCTGGTGATGAAGAAAGGCACTTTCTACAGGAACTATGTGGAGGTGAGAGTTAGTCACTGAGTGCCCTGTAGATTAAACACGTTACTGTTATTGTATTTAAGCAAAAGCACTTTTTTAAAGACCTATGTAAGTAAAAGAAGAAAATGTGCTCCAACAATTAGAATACCCACTGTTTTTAATAGCTTATAATGAAACAATATTATTTAATGCTACAAGACACAATCAGTTAATCAGGTTTCAGAGGCAGAAACTCTCAAATAATGATCATTACAAAATGGCAACAACTTTATATTTTCTACATTTCCATTTTCAGAAAGAACAGAATCATCAATAATACAATACAATAAAACATAATAATGTTGCACGAAGACAATGAAGTCACTCCTTCATGCTTGAGATTAATAAGGTAAAGAAAATAAAAGACAATAATAGTAATAAAGTCGTAAAAACAAGAAGAAAAGGAGACGAAAACATTTTAAAATGTAATTTTTCAATTAAGTGCACCAGTAAAATTACTTTAAAATTGTATTGGTGTGGAAATCTCAGAGATGGATGTATAAAATGCAAATAAAAGGTTATAATTGATCTTCAGAGACTTGAGTTAATATCATTTTGTCACAGTGAGAAAATATGTGAACCGAAATATTGTTTCTCAGGCACTCTGTTTCTCTAATGTAGTATTTTTAGTTAGTATATTCTTCCTTTCTAACCTTCTTCCATTTGTTGCTCCAGTGGGAGGACATGCGAGTCCTGGGCTCTGCCTTCCTCCCAGGCCACCGGTCCATGAACCCATGCCCGGTGTACGATGAGTTCACAGGTACTCTCTTCCTTTTCTTCATCGCTGTTCTCGGCCACACCTCAGAGTCCTATCAGCTGGTGACGGGGAAGAACGTGACCCGTCTGTGCTACATCTGCAGCACTGACGACGGAGACACCTGGAGTCCTGTCACCGACCTAACCAAGAGGGTCATAGGAGATACAATCAAAGGTCAGGGAGAAACCAACTTCCATTGTGTAATTCTGATTAACATTATTTACACAGAAAGCTGCTTTTTTTAAGAGAAACTTTACTTATTTTACACATCTAAGTCTGTTTACAAGCTTTGGGGGAGTACTACTGCATATGTGAAACAAGTTGCATTTTGTGGCTCCAGAGTTTGATAGTTTGCCTCAAATGATGTCACTTGAGTCAGCGTGAGATGGGGCTGAAGACTGAAGAAGTTTGAAAATGAAATAAATCTGTGGGTGGAAGGCCAGAGGGTCGAAACAACATCATCTGAATATAAGAGAAATGCATATGGAGCCATAGTGTGTTACTTCTTTCAAGACTCGATCAGCATCTCTCTACAACCTTCGGTGTGTGTTACTTTTCGATATTATACTAAACATCTGCATGTCTCTTCCTCCTCCTCCTCCCCGCAGAATGGGCCACTTTCGCTCTCGGCCCGGGCCACGGCATCCAGCTGAAGTCTGGTCGTCTGCTGATTCCTGCCTACGCTTACCACATCGAGTGCAAAGAGTGCTTCGGACAGCTCTGCCTGACCACTCCCCACGCCTTCTGCTTTCACAGTGACACCCACGGGCGAACATGGCGTTTTGGGGAGGCGGTGCCAGGGCCGGAGAGCGTGGAGTGTCAGATGGTGTCCGTGGATGAAGAGGATGGGACTAATGTGTTGTACTGTAATGCACGCAGCCCTCTCGGATACAGGGTGCAGGCCCTCAGTCTGGATGACGGAGCCGTGTTCCAGGAGGGGCAGCTGGTGCAGCGGCTGGTGGAGCCTCGAAATGGTTGTCATGGTAGCACTGTGGGATTTCCTGCCCCGTTACATTTATGTCATTCTCTTAACCATCACTTACGCCAACCTATACAACACTCCAGACACTGGACATCTTGCATGACTTACTCAAATCACACCAACTCACCCTCTCCAAACATCACCACTTCTGATTCGCCCAGTCATAGTGCCCCTCCAGACTTCCTCACCCCCACCTGGGTGGTATACTCCCACCCTACATGGACCACCGCCCGCAAGGATCTGGGCGTGTTCCTCAGCCTATTTCCCCGTGATCCAGACAGTTGGCGTGGGCCCTGGGTGATCTACGAGGGCCCCAGCGCCTACTCTGACCTCGCCTATCTAGAGTTGCCCCCCTCACCCGGTGCACCGCCAGCTGTGGCCTTCGCCTGCCTGTTCGAGTGCGGTGCCAAAACAGCCTACGATGAAATCTGCTTCTGCATCTTCACTCTCTACGAGCTTATTGATAATCTGCCCCGAAATGTGCAGCTGGGAAATAACAACAGTGAATACGAAAGACAGCAGAACCAAGTGTCTGAGACAAGTCGGAGTTATACAAGTAGACATGATGCTCAAAGTCAGCACCAGGCACCAGTTTTCCATCAGGTGAAGAAAAGGAAAAAGAAGAGCAAGTTGACTGAGATGTGCTCTGTGTCCTAAATGTAGTTTTGATGGTTTTAATACAGAGTTAAAGTGTCTTCCAATAATTGTTTTCTATTTACACTCAGTTGCCACTTTATTAGGTTCACCTGTACAATCAAATGCAGGCCAATACAACTGTTCGGCCATAAAGTCTACTTTTATAATGCCTATAATGTTTGTGTCATAGAGGAGTTAATTCAATTATATATTTTAGCATTGAGGTCATAGTAAAAGGACCAGTGTGTATGATTTAGTGGCATCTAGTGGTGTAGTTGCAACTCCTTCGCATCGCCCTCCTCTTCCAAGTGCAAATGAGAAAAGCATTAAAAACATAAATGGCCCTATCTAGAGCAGGTATGTAGTTTGTCCCTTCTGGACTACTGTAGAAGCATGGTGGTTCAACATGGTGGACTCCATGGAAGGCAACCCGTGGCGTAGATAAAACCAGCTCATTCTAAGGTAACTAAAACACAACAATTCTTATTTTCAGTCTATTATACACTAATGAAAACCTATAAATATTATATTCCATTTATGCCAGTAGAGCCTCCTAAATGTTACACACTGGACCTTTAATGGTAGAGTTGTATTGGACTGCATTAGAAGCAGAGGTGTCTCTAAATGCTCTAAATAGGAAGGACAAGAAATTGGAAACACCTCTTAGTATAATGTAGTAATTCTATTTACACATTTTCAACAATACCTCCAAAAACTGAACCTTATAAACTTCCTAAATTTACGTCCACAATGAATTATAGAAAATCGTACACACTACTGACAAGAGTAGTTTTTTGTAGTGTTGATTTCAGTTACTTTAACTGCAACAGTGTGACTCAGTAATGATGAAAATCATTTCAGTTCAGGATGTGAAATTTTAGTTTTGATGTTGATCATTTGTCAGTTTTGATTTTGTACAACACATTCAGTGTCATTAAAGTTTTCCTGACACGTGAACTCTCTCTCTTCTGTTGGGGGTATTTTGATGACTCAAACACATCAAAAGCAAATCTAATATCATCTAATACTATGAAAACAAGAGTCTGTATGATCAGTTGTATGGCTGTGAGATCAAGGGTTTATGTCAGATGCTGCTTTATGAACATGGAGGAATATGCCACATTATTTAAATTTAAGAAATGTATGTTATAATCATACCATTTTAAGAATCTGCTCAGTTATCTGGATATCAGTGTTCAGAGTGACAAGAATTATCGTTGACTAATTGTTTTGTCAACTACTGTTCCCAAGGTCAAGAATGGGCTTTCAATCTCAAAGAAAATTATATCTTTCCCCTCTTGATTCTTTTTTATCAAACAAAATGCATAATTCAGAATATCTGACTCAAGCTTTTCAGCAACCAAACACATGAGATACAGCAGAGCAGAATAAATCCCTTTGGTTTATCATTATCTGTGGGCTGTGACCTCAAGGACAAGTTATTTTAGAAAGAAGATACTGAGAAAGTGGAGAGTTCCCTGTGAAAATGTCTGACTGTGACGAGCCTACGTTCCTAGCTGTCCTCTTGATGTTGCATAACTCTCCTTTATAATCTTCAACTCTGTATATTTCGGGTTTTAACTCTCCCAAATTGCCAGGACATGGTTCATTTGCTCCTGCTCCTCTACTTTTAATCTAGCAGGCGAGGCTGCAACCCATCAAGCTCACACATTGATCACAGCTGCTTCATGAGCTGCAGCTCAAATGGGATAATTGTGCCTAAACTCATCAGTTCTTCTTGTGAGGGTGCTGAAACATTTAGGGGCTGACAGCTCAAGTGAGTTGCATGAGAGCGTACGAAGAGCAGAACCAGATAAAGTGGAGCGGTTTGTTGAGTTAAGAGGACAAAAAATAAACAGGAAGACAGCAGGATCTGGACAGTCTCTTCCCTCTGCTCCCCCTCCCTTTCTCCTCGGTTACATAACCCCACACTGACAGGAGCGTCAGTTCCCTGCCTGCACTCTTTCACACAAGTGGTCTTTTCCTTTTCTCTGGCATCTGTGTTTTACAACATACTATGATGAGTGTGAGGATTATCGTTGTTCTGGCTGTGTTAACTGGGGTAACTGGGAGCCCCAATGTGATGATCAAACCTGAAGCTGACATGTCAGCTCACCCCAACAGCGTACCAGAGACAGTGGAGGAAGCAGAGATATTTGGACAGGTGAGAAAGGAATGGCTTTGGTGTCTAATCTTTTTGCTGGTTTTCATTAGTTTTGTAGCTAATCATCTGCATTCCTCAGGAGAAATATTTGCACAAACTGCAAGAACAAATTGAGTGTTTGTTGAATCATAAATGATCTGCACAGAAAAAGAAATTACATTTGTTTTAAAGACGGATATATGTATATCATTGTTGCAATCAACATTACATCAAGACAGTCCTGTACATAGTACAATTATAAGCTCAAGTCGAAACACTAAGCTTTCCTTATAAACCACCATCTTGCAAAATGCTGGCTGCAGAGCCGAGACATCAAATAGGACTAAAATCAAGGTAATAAATAGGTTTTTCTGCAGGGGTCGAACATCAGGAAGAAAAATGCTTTAACTACAAAACTAAAAGTAATGTAACGTTTTTTTACGGCTCCAATAATCAAAGCCTTATTGTCGAGTCATAATGGATGAGGGATGGTGGTCATGTCAAAGTTCAATAGTGTACAGTTGGGTAGATTTGACAGCTTTCAGCTCTTCCACTGTTTCTTCTTTGCAGGCAGCTGTCCTGTAGCCTCTAAGTATTTATTGATAAGTTCCTCTTGTGTGGATGGCAGGCAGAGCTGGTATTTGCTGTAGTCCATGGTGTACTCCCCTTTTCCCTAAATAAACAATGATAGAAGTAATTGTTATGATGATTATTATTATTATTATTTTGAAATTATGATGCATCATGGAAGACTTAAGACTCCTCTGTAATGGTGAAATTTCTTGCCCAACCAACAGCATCCAAGGCAGTAAAGTGCTTAGCAAATATGAAATGACAATATTCATCCATCAGTAAGAATTAGGTCTCGAAGGAGAAAACTAAACATTATTTATAAAGACGGTTAGTGAATTACTAGTGTAGGAATTTACATAGCACTTTGTCTTTTTATATTTGACTACCACTAATTTGGAAAGCTTGATAACCAGTTTTATAATAAAGAAACTGCACGATTGATATATAAACAAAGAATAGTATTCATATAGAGCTATATCGTGTTTTAGGTTGGACGTACTTCAGTATTGGAGCGTAGTTCTGTGGAGTAGCCGAACATGTCATTAAGTGAAATCTGTTGGGAGAAACAGGCTGAAATTAGTCAAATACAAATGATTATGAAGAACAAATACTGTGAGCTGAAAGGCTGTAGATACTTGCTGTACGTGTACAAGCTGTACTCACATCAGCGTACAGAGTGAAGTATCCCTCAGCTCCATCCTGTCCTGTGATAACACCATGCCGGCGGTTTACACCAGCGATGACTACTCCCTGGAACTCCTGAGGCGCTACAATCTCCACAGACATGATTGGCTCCAGGATGGCCGTGCTGGCCTTTTCCATAGCTGAGGAGAGCACAGAGAAACCAGCATTAACGTACAGCTCAGGAGTAAAGCCAAAATGGAACGAAACAAACTGAAACAGGAGGTCAAATCTAACGTGACCCTCACCTTGTTTTAGAGCACCCTCTCCTGCACGGATGAAGGAGAACTCATTGGAGTCCACCATGTGATGCGCTCCGTCTTCCAGGACGAATCTGACTCCTGAGATCTTGTGTCCGGTCAGGGGTCCCTTCTCACAGGCCTCCCTGAAGCCCTGCAGCATGATGGGAAGAAACAAGCGATGAAGGACAATCTAGCACCTGACATTTACTTCGTGTTTAAGTCAATTGTATTAATATATTTTTACATCTATATAGCTGTAGTACATTAGTTAGGAACATGAACCTTTTCTACAGCTGGTACAAACTGCTTTGGGATGTTGGTTCCAACAGTCTTGTCTTCAAACTCCACCTTGGTGTTATTCTCTGGGTCAAGAGGCTCAAGGAATCCTACAACTTTACCGTACTGCCCAGAGCCGCCGGTCTGCTTCTTATGAGTGAAGTCAAACCTGCAGAAAATGGGACAAAAATATCCACATTTTAAAGAAACTCTATTGAGAATGAAAGCGACACTGTAGAACAATTTAAATTGTGGACAATTTTTTGCTCTCGGCCAAACAGACCAAAATAATTCGTCTGTACCAAAAATAGACACCAGGCACTATAATTGCCACCTGTATTAGTATTATTCTTACAATTTTGGCCAAATAAATAGACAAGTCAAAACAAACACCAATGATATACACAAACTACTACTTACTTCTAATAAGTTATTTGTCAGTTTGACTATTTGTGTACTATTATTATTCTCTATAATTCTCTCTAGGAGTGTGTCACTTAACACAAAATTGAAAACGTAGCACATTTTGTAATTATACTGCAGTTACTAATGTTTGCCAGTTTGTGTGAACAATATCAGATATCATCAGTGGCAGCTTTTAGAGAAACATGTTGATGTTTTCCACCAAAATACGTTCAATTTTAATCTAAATTTGACATTTCTTGTATAATTGAATTGCATTTGAAAAACTGCAGCACCAAATCTGACTGATTTGTAGGGGGTGACAAATATTTAAGGGTCTATTTGCTTGCATTGGCTGTTCAGTAGAGCAGAATCAATAGGGAGGAGAGGAAACAACAGAAAAGAGCTCTGTCTCTTTAAAAAAAAAAAGGGGGCAGTCCTCAAAGAGGTCTGGTGTCAGAGGAAGTGGGAAGTAATCTTTCTATTTGCATGAGGAGCAGCTGAGACTGAACATCGGATAGATAAAACTTCCCACCAGTTAACAGGCGGGAAGTTTCAGCATTCCAGTTCCAGGCAAGATCAGACTCCCTTATTTAATTTATTATTTCATCGCCTTGTACTTTTTCTTTGACTTCTACATATTCGCTTTCCTTTCCTCACTTCCTCAATGGAAGTCTTTTTTTATCTAGAGGCAAACCAACCCTGCTGATACCTGAGGGTCAAAGTCCTTCAGGGGTTACAAGCCCATCCCAGTTCATTACAGCGGCTTCTGTTCTAATTGCGTTCCTTTCTTTTCATTCCTTCCCAACTCTCGCTGTCTGTACTGTCTGTGGAATAACAGCAAAACGTGTCGGTATTAGTGGGAGAGGAGGCCGAAGAGGATGTGATGGCGACCGGAGAGCTGAACCCAAATCACTACCCTGCTCAGAGGGCAGCCAAAGTGGTCCAACACTACCTCAACACCCGCTATGGCTCTCCGTACAGGTTGTTCGGACTGCAGAGGGTCCACAGCGGGAATGCAGAGGTCAGCTGAGCTTTAATGTAGTTTACAGTGAAGTATATAAGTGCTAACTATACTTAACTATGGTTATGTTTTCCCTTTCAAGGATGTGGCAGACTCTGGGAGAAAGTATCAGCTGGAGGTCACAGTGCAGGAGATTATCGCCAATGTAAGACATGATTATTTATCACACTGAGACACGAGATGTGGGTCAGATACAGAAAAGAGTCCTTCAATCTAGAGTGGCTTCATTAACGTTAAAGTTTTCACAAATGTCTTTGATTTGGTTTAATTTCTGATTAGATATTTTTGGTTTTACAGTAATAATCAACAGAACAAACTGTAAATGAGTCAGCGGTCCCTTCCCAGATATTAAAAAGCACCATAAAAAAAGACAAACTACATATCTAATGACACATTTTGTCTATGAATCAGATTACTGACAACCTTTTATCACCCTGCACTGCAAGATTTACTCAAGTGCTGATTTGGGCTCATCTGTAAAGACTTATTGCATCTAAATTGACTTCTCAAATAGGAATAATCAAAATGTAATGGCTGCGTTTATCCTCAACATTTCACAAGTTAATGGCATTCATTGTGATTTTGGAAAGCTATTTTAAGCATAAGTTTTTGTTTAAAGTGTGCAGCGGAATAATCTCTGGCTTTAGAGGGAGCAGGTTGGATCAGGTTTAACTAAACAGCAGATAAAAGGAAGCAGTGTGGTGCAACACTGACTCACTGGCTGCCACGGTAACATCTGGACAACGCCTTCGCTCTATAAACTCTGCTTCTTTTTTTTTTTTTTT